ATCAGATTACGAGTCGAGTGCCCTAACCACCTGGCCATGCCGGGCCCAAATCTCTACAGTATATGTATAGAAAGAGAGAGTAAGGGAACTTGACCCATGGACCCTCGGATCTACAGTCCAGACCGCTAATCATTAGGCTACCGCCCAGCTTACATCTACTGGGAAGCATCTGTTTGGAAAATTACTAGATATTCAAAAACGATGTTCCTAGAGAGAAGTCGCACTACAGTGATATCGATGTAATACTTGGATGTAAAGCTGAGAAATCCAGAGATGATCATGTTAAATTTGTTTTACTTATTATTGGAGGCTAATTGGGCGCTCAGTAGCAATCGAAAATTGCTATGAGTGATTTACCTTATAAACAGTTCAGTCTTAGCACCCTTTCCCCTAAATTCTTTCTCAAGCAAAAAATCATAAAGAGTATTATCATATGTACATATATGTAGAGAGAGACAGACAGACAGAAAGGGTTGGTATATGCAGGCCCTCTCAAATGTTCAGAGAGGCTCGGGCCACTTCTATCTTTTCAGGCCTCTGCCAATAATAAAAAGATATGATGGCTCGTGAAAACAAAATAAAACAATCGTTAGCCAAAAAAAAGTGAAACATAATTTTAATATTTTTTTATTTGACATATATTTATCAATATTATTTAACATTTAATAAACGCTTTTCTAGCCTTTTTTTATGCATAAAAACAAGTCGCGAAACTTAACAGATGCAAAAAAATAATAACAAGTGCCTAAATGTGAGTTTTCCTTTGAGCTTGAGGCCCGGGCCAAATGACCCTCCTGCCTTTCCCCTCTAATCAGCCCTAGGTATATGTATATATGCATATAGAGTTAGTGTATGTATATATATATAAATATCTATACGAATATGATTGTTTGTATGTATGAGTAGAAAAACTTAGACTCACTAACAACAAAGACGGATGTAATGACGGTGATGCTGAACCCATGAAATGGTTATTTCTGAAATTCTGGTTTTATTTTCGTTTGATCTGTAGAATAAATATTTGAGCTAAAAACGTTCTTAAGAGAAGGGAGTTTTTAATTCATGCAAACGATACATGTGTTATGTATTGGACAATTAGTAAGAAAGATAGTCACGCACCGGTTTCAGGAAATCGCACAAAAAAATAAAAATAGCGTAATGGATTAATTTTAAAGAAATTCTGATGCAATCATCCTCTGTAAAGTTTTCATTTTACCCATTCAAGTCATGCACAATTTTCCCTGCAGTAGAAGCTTTACTTTCCAAGAAGAAGAAGAAGAAGCAACTTGCATGCGAATAAGTTCATATTCAATTAAAGGTTTTATAGCTCTTGTTATTTGATAATAATAGTCTATGGGTGGAGAGTGGATGGTTTAGAAATGTAGACATTAAAGGTGGCTTTTACCAACAGAATATTCTACTATGATCCTAAGTCTAATATAATTTAAATGTTATTTTGCAGAATAGCTACTATAACCATAACCGCTGATGACAATGAGTGGAAGTGAGTTTTGTTTTGGGTTCAGTCCCAACTTGATTTTTTTTGTTATATGTCCTGTTTTTCATCTGCAATTTTGGATTCATGGGCACTCGAAGGAAGAGGCAAGTGGAGGCATTTGCCCCCTTACATTTCACAACAACTTGCACGTATTATGATATAAACTTAACATCGTAGTTAAACTGGATATTTTTAGTAATTTTTTTAACACTGTAAATTTGTTTTGTGTTTAAGCACACATAACACATATTATTTTAGTCTGTTGACTTACACTGTAAAATCTGATCCCCTACGTACATGTCCCTCCCCCCCCACACCTCTGAAAATATTTCTGTGTGCGCCCATGTTTGGATTATGTCTCATAAATGGAATATCTCGAAGACTCTTGGGAGTTATTGCCCCAAATACTTTCTTTTAAAAATTATTCATTTTGTACTTTCATGACAAATGTTGTAATTTTTTTAATTATCTTGTTTAGAATATTTATTACTGGCGCGACAAGGGATTGATTTAATTTGTTAAATTGTACTCAATACTATAATTTTGAATTTCGCTTTGAAATGCAGGTTGAGAATTTGTTTTAACTTTTAAGAATGTGATTTTATTCTTTATATCTATCATTATTGTTATATAGTGCTGGATTTTCGCCTATGTACTCTTGATGTAGATAACGTAATTTGACTATAAATATACATATATGGTGCTATAGAAACCCGTTTTCGAACCGTCTGTTTTTGAAAAAATATATAACTTTAAATTGTTATAAACTATATTCTCAAATCCACCCATTAACTAAAAAAATATAACAAAATGCTCAGAAGTATTGTACACTATTTTAAATTTCTTAAATTGATTTGATTATTCATGAATCAGCAAAAAAAGGGTGTCATCAAATTATATTAATTTGTTTTGTTTTAATAAACTGTGAATATTGTTTCAAATACTTATAATTTTTCTCTACGAAAGAAATGTAGTGTTTTTTTGCGAGCTTTCGGCTTGGTTGACGTTACAGCAGTGAAGTTGAAAGCTCCCAAAGATAAATGTTCTCTAGTGGAGAAAAGTCCTAAAACTATTTGAATATAAAAGATATCACACGTAGTGAGTTTCAAATTGTATTCAAAATCTGTATATCTTATTCCACCAGTAAGATGGCAGATATGTTCTACCATCTAACGAAACCTAAAATGAACCAAAACCACGATATATTTGTAGTAGTCATTCACATGTTAGGTACAGATCTGGGATTAATGGTATGGAATTAAAATGTTGATTTTAAGAGAAAAAATAATGTAAAAACTAGATAGTTTATGCAATTTGTTTAAACTGTTTTTACCTTTTATCGTTTTAAGACTCTTTACAGCTTACTTTAAACTTCACAAGGAAAGGAAAATATGTTCTTTAATTAATCGATTATAAATTTATTGACAAGAAAATATAATATTAACTGATTTTATATATCCTAACTAAACTTAAAACTTTTTAAAAAATCAATACAAGGAAAGATTCATTTGGATATCACTTTTTAAATGACTATTTGTATAAATAAGGTGCTAACTAATTTTATGAAAATGAAAGCTTTAAACCAGTTTTCAACAAGAAAAAATGCGGTTTTAATTTATAGCAAGTAAAACGTTGTTTATCGAATATATCGAATAGGAATAAAGAGAGTTAAATCATTGTAAGTATTAATATAGAATATGTTGTTTTCTAGAAACTTTAACTGGAAACTGGTAAACTAAAGATATACAATTTAATTGCAGTTAAAAAGTGGGTAAAATCTAATTTCAGACATTGACGTGTTTAGCAATAAATTTATAAGTGAAGTAGTTTATCAATGCTTCACAGGTCTTTGAATTATTGTCACAGAAAATACGCATGATTAATGAAAATGAAAGCTATTTTTAGTGGAACTAGGTGCTTAAACTGAAAATAGACAATGTACAACGATTTTTTTTTTTCACATTTTCGCAAATATTTTTACAATTTCAAGACGTAACTTACCACCAATGTTTCTCATTTCCTGTATTGCTTCTCCTATTCAACTCGTACATGTGACCTTAATCGAATTATGATGGTAACTTCCAGTTTTTCAAAAAGCGGACTTAAACGCGACCAATTCTTATGGAAGAAAGGTAGTATCTGATCCAGTTTCGGAACTACACACAACCTTCGATTGTCAACAGTAAGAGTTCTTACTTAGATATCATTACCATGGAAACGGAATACTGGAAAAACTAGCGAGACCACCAATTGCAATAACAGAGTAAAACTTTGGAAACATAAAGTAATTTAATGGTAAACATAGGTATTATTACCATGTTCTAAATAGTTTTATGGTAGGTAAAACAAGAGCTTGATAGTATATTTGTATAAAAACCTTTAAGTTTTTATAATATGTATGCAAAACAACAGGTTTTTTTAAATGCTGATATTGTATTGTGCCTTATTAATTACAAGTTGTAAGATGTGTCGAAATTAGATATTTTAAAATGCTCAATTACTGTACTTAATAATATTAATATATCTTTGAAAACTGAAATTTGAAAATCTAACTGAAGTTTGTGTCATTAATTATTGTTGATTTAGGAGCCTATCTACTTGCCTCGAAATATTATTCACTCCACTTTTTATTAATATTTATTAGTTAATTAATTGTTTATATACCTTTTAGTATGGATTTGTTTATAGCTCTATTGGACATCTTTTTTTTATCTTGGACTTTGATGTTCTAGCTTAATAAGACGGGGTGAAGTTATTGGTATTTTCAACTTCAACGGCAGCTTATTCGCACGAGGGCTGAACGGCCAAGTCGGAGAACCTTAAGATACATGTCTATTCGTCCCTAATTTTGAATTGCTCAGCAAACAGAAGGCACTTAATAGCGACAACCGCCGCCATTAGAGATGTGACTGGCTTTGAAGCGAATAACAGGACTGATTTTCTCTCTTTTAATGCACCTACAGCTGACAGTGCAGAGCGTGTTAGAGGCACTGAGATGTAAACCTTGGGCCTTCTGATTCGCAACCTGGCACACTAATAATTAGACCTCACCCGGCCTAATAAAGCATCAAAATGCTGGTTTCAGCATTTTATGTGAGATTACACCATAGGTTTTTTTTCAACGTTTTCTGTATGCTGATTGACGCTACTGCGTGAATTGAGAATTTTGTATAAATAAAGTCCTTTCAGCTAATTCTGATGTGTAATCGTCGTTTTCGATAATAAGTTCTGCTTAAACTTTCTATGGATGAACAGGTGAGCTAAATTTTTAAAGCATACCTGTAAGAAACACACCATACTTAACGAAACATAAGTGTATTTGTCTCCATGGGAGAGTGTCTTGTAGAGTATTAGAAGCGGCAGGGATAAAAGTTTTCTGTGGTTGGTGATTGGGTATTTGTTTTTATTTCTTATGATATTAATTTGTTATTTGCTGTGCGTCGAGACTGTTAACGGCCCTTGATCCGTGATTGAGAATTAATTACTTTCAATTTCCTGTGATTGTTTAAACTGTAATTCGTTGTGTACATGAACGTGTTTTGCCTGTTTTCGATTTACAACTTTTTTTATCTTTAAATTCATGCACTCTTTAGCCACTTGGAAACGCTAAGCCCGTGTAAAGAATAAAGACGCGAAATATACTGTTCTTATTCTTTTATCATCTCGGATACCTCAAAATACACACTTGAAATAACTAGATTTTTGTAGCATTATATAGATGAATCCACAAAAGGCACGATGCTGAACACTGTGTTAAAAACAGCGAAAACAACGATTAAACGGTCATAACAATTTTAACACTTTGCGTAAACGGTTCAACACTTTCTCAAAGCAACAATGGTTTCATAGGCAGAGAAAGGAATGAAAGATGTCTGTGCCACATAAAACATAAATTGAACTACTAAACCTCGGTAATTCAGTCTGAGCTGGACTGAAAAAAAAAAAAGAGGCTCGAAAAAAGGATCAGAAATTGAAGTAAAACTGGCCAGAATGAAAATAATTGGTGACGGCATTAAAAATTTGCAAAATATCTATACAGGAAGCATGAAATCTAATGAAAGTGGGGATAGTACGTATAAGAATGTTCACTTTTGTAATGTATAATTTACAAAGAAAGGGGAAATTAAAGGGAAAAAGAAACTTTACTCAAATGTTTTATGCTACTTAGGATCATGGAAGGTATAAAAATTGAATTTGACCCGTATTTCCCGTGATTTGTGATTGGGAAAAGTTTTTTTTTGTGTGATCAATGATCGTTATCCCCCATTTCATTCTCCTATACGTTATTACATATTTTGGACAACGCTATATACAAATATTCATTTGTTCATACTGTTAGATAGATAAATATTGTCTTCGATAGGACTATCGAAATAGCATCCTAGTTCACTTTCATGAAATATACTAGTGCTGCTACTAGTGTCAGTTTAAGGCATGTTTGATAAAACAAACAGAATTAATAATAATGTTCCTTTGTACTCTTCTTACTTGATTGTATGTCGTTTTTAGGATCTTTCTTTCGTGTTTGCCTCAGTATTCCAGTGGGTCTTACTTTCGTTGTTTGTCATCTTTCTTTTTTTTTACCGCACTAGAATTGCTGATAGGAGGGCGCAATGACCCATGAAGTCATTGTGCCTGTCATGGGAAATAGATAACTGAGTTGGTTTCACATTGCTTTCCTGAACAGATGCAATTTATTCTTCGACAAACTCAGGAAAAAAAACAAAAAACAACGACAATAAATGCATGATAATCGATTATATTTGTCATAAGATATTAATATTAGGCTTATTGTCCCCTGGTAGGGCAACAATAATCTATGGACTTACAACGCTAAAATCCGGGGTTGATTCCCCACGTGGGCACCGCAAATAGCCCAATGTGGCTTTGTTATTATACAACTAAACCAATTAGGTTTATTGTATTTTTAAACACTAAATTCTTTATTCAATTCTTTAGGATTTTACCAACAAGAAGAATGTATAATAGTATTTCAACCACACCATGTCCGGCATTTCCATTGCCAGCAATGTATTTCGCCCAATATCAGAGCTCAACAGGCCGGCTGGGATATGACGAACATAGTAATGGGCGGAATGCTATTTTATGAGCCACCTGTTAGAATGGATATGGTGGACACGGTGTAGTTAAAATATTATTATCTACTCTTCTTCTCGAAAAATCTTAAAAGGCCTAATAAACATTATTGTGTTTTAAAATACAATAACTTTAATATTGCAGTATTATGGCAGATATAACTGTTATATTCACGCTTCACCAGCAGAATCTGTTACACTATAACAATAGTCAGAGTAAGTGTATTTTCGCGGTAACAGGACTCGAAACACTAGACATTTGTCATCATTTGTTTTTTTCCGTTTTACGATCCACTAAACATGTGTAATTCACTGTTCTAGACTTTTTCAAGTGACTTAGAATTTTCATGTCCCCTTTTTTGTTGATACTTCATCGTGTTTTCTTCTAACCCAGTTAACGTTAAAAATAAACTTTGTAGTCCGGCAAGTATGTGCAACATAGTCAAAGAATTGTGGGTTTATGCATACAAACATGAAATTTGGCATAGTTGTAGACCATAGCCCAGAGAATATTTTTAGAAATGGTGCCATCGCGAAAAAGGCCTATGTTACCTTTGGCGGCCATTTAAAAAAATGGCTGCCAAACATTTTGATGGCATTGAAAAATCGGCATTACATTATAGCTAATAACTTAAATGTTGCTTTACACAAATATATCATTCAAAAACATGATCTTCGTTTACTTAATATAAAAACAACACACAATATATATCTAAAAGGTCGATAAAAAGTGCTGAGTCAGGTTGTTTGTAATTAAGCAGAAAGCTACACAATAGGCTATCTGTGCTCTTCCCACCACAGGTATCGAAACCCTGTTTCTAGTGATGTAAGTCTGCAGACATACAGTTGTGCCACTGGGTGACGCGCTGAGTCAGTAAAATATGAAATTGTACTATATAATTAACTTTAAATTCCACTGGTTTATTGTCGGTTAGGCCAAAATTTTGTTATTTGTAGGCTTATGGGAGAAAATATTCAAAAGTTGCGTAGGAGGAGGAGGAGAAAAAATAAAAATAAAAGCTGGAAATATTAATAAGATATAACAGAATTTTGAAAGAGTGATTACCGAATGATGAATCGAAGTTGATATGTATGAAATGTAATATACACCCATGACACTTTGTACCATTCAAAGTACCCCCCAGTGGCTCAGCGGTATGTCTGCGGACTTACAACGCTAGAATCAGGGTTTCGATACCCGTGGTGAGCAAAGCACAGATAGCCCATTGTGTATTTTTGTGCTTAATTACAAACAAACCATTCAAAGTATTTGTGTTACACCAATATACTGCCAATATGTTGTACGCGATATGTCATGATTGAACGTTGAGATAAATCGACCACCATGTTGAAGTGCAGATCGGAAATTTAGCATTTTTTCTGACCAACAAATAAATTTCACAAAAGATTCCCATGTGCAGCGAGAAAACAAAATTAAGATACATGAAAAAATAAATTTTATCTTTGCTGTACTTTTAGAGAAATTAGACACGGCGCGCCCGTAAACCTAAAATTTAAATAATGTTGACTTTATCAGCATAAGTTAAAAAAGTATTGTTTTCTATTAAATCGCTAATCATTTGCTAGTGCTGACTTATGTGACTCTTTCCAGCATGTATCGTTTGTTATACTAATCTTATAGGATCAATGGTGTTCATTTCAGGTGTTGTGGGTTATAATAGAAGGTGGTGGCTAACTGTATATATTTATATATAACCCGGTGTTGAAAACTCAGACAATGTCAAAGAGTTTTCAGTTGGTAAATCCACAACAGCCTTGTCCTTGAAGAGAACAGCCGGCGAAAACTGACTGGACCATGTGCGTTCTTTGTTAACTAGTCACACGCCAAGCTTTACGATGTCCAGCTGACTCGAAGTATCGTGATGTTGGGGCTGGTCAGAGTTATTCTACCCTTTCATCAAGTCTAGTGCGATTCCATGAGTTAGATGAACTGTCTATTCCAATAGACATTCAA